TCTACCTCTCTCTGTAACTCTGTCTTTCAAGTAAATAAAAAAAAAAAAATTATATTGTGGAATGAAGGGGAGATCAGAGCGATCCTTTTGAGAAGTTTGTGTCAATCAGTTGATTCAGTCTAATATTCAAATGGGATAGCTGCAAAAGAAGCATCATTTTTGCCTTTACAGATCACTTCCAAGTACTCTCAAATAATGAGAAAATCTGGGGGCCGGCACTGTGGCACAGCGGGTAAAGCCGCCGCCTGCAGTGCCAGCATCCCATATAGGCGCGGGTTCGGGTCGCGCCTGCTCCACTTCCAATCCAGCTCTCTGCTATGACCTGGGAAAGCAGTGGAGGATGGCCCAAGTCCTTGGGTCCCTGCACCCACATGGGAGACCTCCAGGAAGCTCCTGGCTCCTGGCTCCATTTCGGCGCAGCTCTGACCATAGTGGCCAATTGGGGAGCGAACCAGTGGATGGAAGACCTCTCTCTCTCGGCCTCTCCTTCTCTCTATGTGTAACTCCAACTTTTAAATAAATAAATAAATCTTTGGGGAAAAAAAAAATGAGAAAAACTTCCTGGTGCTGGAGAGCAGAGCGGAGCGACCCTTTCAAAGGTCGAACATGAGCTGGTTAGAGAGACTTGTGACTGCTGGGGAAATCTCCCAAGTCCTCCCTGGTAACAGCGAATTGCAGCGCCGGCATTGAGTGCGTGCTGTGTGTCTGGAGCTTTCGGAGTTCATTCAGTTACTCCCCACAACTTTGGAGGCTGCTTCAAAATGTTCATGGAAATGGAGTTAAAAATAAGGTTATTTTGGTGTAAAAGATGGAAATTCGTGCATACAAGAGGTCTTCAAGAAGTTGATGAAAACGCATATCATGAAAAAAACTGCATGAGTTTTTATTTTATTTATTTATTTGACAGGCAGAGTGGACAGTGAGAGAAAGAGACAGAGAGAAAGGTCTTCCTTTGCCGTTGGTTCACCCTCCATCGGCGCACCGCGCTGATCCAAAGGCAGGAGCCAGGTGCTTCTCCTGGTCTCCCATGGGGTGCAGGGCCCAAGCACTTGGGCCATCCTCCACTGCACTCCCTGGCCACAGCAGAGAGCTGGCCTGGAAGAGGGGCAACCGGGACAGAATGCGGCGCCCCTACCGGGACTAGAACCCGGTGTGCCGGCGCCACAAGGTGGAGGATTAACCTAATGAGCCACGACCCCGGCCCAAAACTGTGTGGATTTTAACTTACCTTTTAATTCCATCTCGGAGCGCCCTCGTACTCTAGGAGGTAGGTACTGTCTTTTCTGTATTATCCCTGAAGAAGCAGGCCAGGCAGGGTAAATGGTTTGCCTAAGGTCAGAGCTTGTAAGCGGCCCAACTGATTTATCAAGTAAAAATGTCATGTTTTGTTTCATTTTAAAGATTTATTTATTTATTTGAAAGAACCACAGAGAGGGAGAAACAGGAATCTATCCATGGTTCCCTCCCCAAATGCCCTCAACAGGGTGGAGCTGGGCCAGGCTAAAACCAGGAGCCAAAAACCCCACCTGGGTCTCTCACATGGGTGGGAGGGACCCGAGCCCCTGGGCCATAATCCTCTGCCTGCTAGGAGCATGAGGAAGCTGATCAGAGCCACGGAGTAGCCGGGGCTCCAGGCGCTTAAACTCACCGCGCTACACGCCTGCTCCTCTTGTCATTTTCTAGGAAGTTCTGCCTGATCAGTGCAAGCCTTTAGTTATGTGTGAAAATAAAATAGAGGGGGCTGTTTGAAAAAATATGACAAATTAGAGTTTAACCTAAGTGATTAGCGTCTCATCAGAAGTAACTTTTTACTAACAACGTACTCCCTTCAAAGAGGCATTTATTTTTAGAAATCTGTCATTTCTGGGCTTAACATGAACTTCACTTGGTCCTGAATCAGTCCATTTTCCATTACAATAAATACCTGAGGCTCCTAACGTAGCTCACTGTGCAGGGGCATGGCACGGCTTCACAGTGGCGGGAGCGCCTACGAGGAGAGATGACAAGGAAGACAGGATTCCTGCAAGCGGGGGAGGGCCAGTCCTGAGTGAACTACCCTGATCCCTTCCAAGGGCGGGGCCCCCAGGACCCCTGCTTCTTACCATCGCCACTCCGGGGACATGAACCTCTGGGGAGCACACTTCAGTCAAATCCAAAGAAGAGAATTCACGAATCACGCAGCAGGCCTGCAGCCCTCCTCAGCCCCGCTCTCAGGCCACCTGTCCACCTTGGGGGGGGGGGGGCTGTGTTGGGTGTGTTCTTCCTTCTGTCACTGAGTTGCCTGCTCTGGGAACCCTGTAGTCCTCTTTTTGAAGCAACACCAGGCCAAGTGGCTCCCCACTGTGAACGTCATTTTCCTGTAGAATCGCTAATTCCCAACATCCACCTTTCATTTTTTCCTAACTGGTTGGCTTTTTCTAAGAATGAAGCCCCGGGTGAGGCGTTTTGAGTGAAGGGAAGTGCTGGCGAGTCCCTCTCAAGGAGTGTCCAGCACAGAGAACGAGCTGCTTGTGGAATGTGTTCTCCCAGACGCTTCCGTGTGCATCTGAGCATGTGTCATGGTTCTGACACACGAGGAAAGCGTGGGGACAGGAGAGGAAGCAGCGCAGTGAGGCGTGGGCCACTGTGGGGTGCACGGCAGGCAGCCTGGATACAGAGGGGACAGAGCCACCTAGGGGGGACAGAGCCACCTGGGGGGGGGTCCCTCCCACTGCCAGGCTCCGCCTTCTCCTCTGTCAGTGGAATCTCTCTTTTGCCACAAAACCTCCCTCACTTTCTAAATGCCACTTGTTGGCTTCCAAAACAGGAAGAGGTTGTCAAGGAGCCGAAAACATCCTGGAAACCAGGCGGGGACGGAGGGGGGTGTCTGTGTTAGGGAGGTGACTTAGCAACACTGAATTAATCAGGACAGCCAAGGTGGGGGAGCAGCACCAGGCCGGCCGGCGGGCGGTGCTGACCAGTGGCTATCCCAGGGTGTCTGCGCATGGCAAGGGGCTCAGGTTGGGGGTTACATACAGCCTACTTCTCCCCAACCTCTCAGTCTCACAACACTAAGTGTCAGATCCATCGGGTCTGTAGGAGGTGAAAAATGGTGCGTCGCCCTTGCCAGGTGCTCCGGATGGATGGCTCCGGGCAGAGTCCACCTATGTATTACAGAGCAGGTGCAGCCTCGTCTTCAGGTTAGGCTTAGGGCCTAATGGGTGAGGCCAGAACACATCTGAAATCGACAATCCCGTGTACAAAGGGAGCAGGTTTGACTTGCTAACAAGGGGCAGCTGGAAACCCTTCAGCTTAACCAAGGAGGAGTCTAACAAAGGAGCAGGGGCACTCCTCTGCCAACGGAGGACTTTGTCCAGCTGCAGCCTCTGGCCATCCTTTGCCGGGAATGACTGCACCTTCCAAGTTGTGGGTTCTCTCAGGACGTGGAAAGATCAGAGGTGGCCATCATCTCGTGCTGCACGTTCCGCAAGGACAGAAACCTACTTACACAGGGCACTGTGCAGGGAAGGTTTACCACCGTCCGTACATTCACCCACTGACTCAACACCTGAGCCCCAGGCACAGCACTGGGCTTGGAGAGACCTGTCCTCCATCCCAACCTAACAGTCACACACCAGGTGAGCAGCAGTCATGCAAAACGGCCACGGAGGAAGGAGGGCGCAGATGGCCGGAGGAGCCTATCAGTGCGTCTCACAGTCATTGAAATTCCAGCAACACGATGGCCTGGGATGTGAATGAGCCACAGAGCAGAGTCCTCTCCAAATCCCACTCTGACGTTGGGGAGCAGTTAGATCAGTTTGGGGGCGACTCTCACTGTGAACTCCCACATCCACTCTCTGCAACCCAGGAATGTATGGATTTGTAACACTGTGTCCATCCAGATCCCCGCTTGCTGTCTGAACTGATGAACTGATATTTAGACACAGGGACCTAAAGGATTAGGGTGGGAGGGGAAGGTGTGGGGTTAAGGGCACCAGAGCAAAGGGCTGCCCCCGCTGGCCCCAGTCTCAAAGGCATGCAGATGGAGGCCTGAGTTTTCTGACTGACAGTGAGGGTGTGCAGGTCTGCCTGCAGAAACTGAAAGCAGAAATCATTCATGGAACACAGCTCACTCCCGGGACTTTGCTAGCGTGTCTGTTTCTCAGACTCTCGAAGACTGGACCTTACCCTGCTCATTCGTGTCTGCCTTTGCCAAGAAGAGATTGCTTTTGTAGAAGAACTTTGTCCGCTGGAGGAGGCCAGCCTGGGGGTTAACAACAGCCACTGAGAGGCTCCCGGCTTGCTGGGCTGTCTTCTGGGTAGGTGCCTCTGCGTAGCTCCGCCATGACTCTCCTGGCAGCTGTCTCTTACCCCTGCAGTGCACGGTATCCACCCAAATCCTTGCAGATACCAAGAACCAGACCCAGTTCTGCCTGCTGGCCACAAGGACTTGGACCATTTTCCGCTGCTTTCCCAGGTGCATTAGCAGGGAGCCGGGTTGGAAATGGAGCAGCCGGGACTTGACCTGGTGCTGATTTGGGAATGCTGGTGTCGCAGCCCCTGTCCACCTGATTTTAGCACTGGGATGGGTGTGATTTGTGGAGACAGCAGTTGCAATCCAGTTGTGTCTGAATCAACAGGCGAGAGCCAGTGAGACACACGTGCACCCACAGCTTAAAGGGGAGGCTATGCTCCTCCTTGTATAGTACTGACATAGGCTACTGGCATGGACATCCAGTCTCTGCTGCCCAACATTCAGCCCCTCTCCGTAGCTCTGCCTCACCTTAGGGGCCTTGTCGAATCAGTGATCAAGCTCCCCTGAAGCCAGCATTACCTCTGAACTCCTCACTTACCATCGGAGGCGATAAATTCCCTTCACTGTGAAGCCGGTTGGAGCCGTCTCTTCTAACGCTCACCACTGAAAGAACCCAAGTGCATGCAACTGCCTGTTCTCCCCCCAACCCCCCGGGCATCTCTGGCTTTCTTCTGGTCTGCTCCGGGGGTGTCAGACAACCTGTACATTGTTTCTGAAGAACACATCAAGCAGTTTATTGGTAGGGAGAGGATTTGTCTGCAAAGTCTGGGTGACTGAGAAGACAGACACAGTTATTCAGACACTGTCCCTGATGGCTGTGGGCCACACGTGATCAAGGTCACTTCTCTCCTCCTGGGGAGGGGCACTGGCTGGAAGACAAAGGGGCAATGGAATAGAATAAAAAGGGAATTCTGGGCAGTGATAGGTGCCCATCTCTGATGGGGAGAGGAGAGACCCCCATCCCCACTGAATGCAGTTAAAAGCCCCAGACAGGGCGCACGCAGCTGTTACCCGAGCAGTGGGAAGATTCTAGAGGAAAAGTGGAAATCAGAGTGCTGCCAAGCTGGTGGTGGGTTTTCCGTTTCCTTTCCTCTGGGACCTGCTGGCCTGGGCTCAGAGACCACCGGAAACCCGGACTGCACACAGGATGCAGACAATGACTTCTCCAACAGAAGTGCTCTCATTCCGGCCTGAGAAAGGGAGCTCCTACGGTCAGAGAAAAGCCCCGCTTGCTTGTGGGTTTCTGGTTCTCTCCCTCCCTGCCCTTGTGATGGTGGTGGCTGCAATCGCGATGGTGGCCAGACAGGCACCGAGAACTCAGGGGGAACCCTTCCCTCTGCCCAGAGGAACTGTGCTCCCAAGAGCACGGGGAGAGTGCTCCTTCTCCCTCCTCCTCTCTTTCCTCCCCTCCCCTCCCCCTCTCCTTTCCCCTTCTGTGATTTATCCCAGGAGGTAGACTGGGAAGAGCAGGGAAATAAAAATCCTGGTTTTTACCCGGAAGGCTAAGAATGGGAGGGGCGTGGCCTGGGACCTAGCAAGCCTGTGGGCGATTGTGGAAAGGAGAGGGGCTAAACAAAGTGACGTCATAAAGCCGTAGAAGAATGCCTGGGTTCACCCCAAAGCTGACCCTAAACAGAAAACCGAGAGATCTCAGAGTAGAGCTGCAGGGGCTAGCACACACCCCATGTAGATCAGCACAGCCCTACACAGCCCTGCACAGCCTTCCAAACTCAGTTGATGTGAAAACCATAGCCCAGAGAAGGCACATAGGAACTTAAAGCCCGAACCCATTAATGCTGCTCGGTGAAACAAACCAAGAACCAACATTCCCCATACGATTTAAAGGAGACCCGTAATCCCATAACATGAGGCTCATGTTCAACCCCAAATTACGTGATAGTTGAAGACCCAGGAAAATATCAACGTCTCTGAAATGAAGACAAGAGGAAAGAACGACTTGGAGGTGGCACAGTTGTTGGAACAGAGACACTAAAGCAGCCGTTTTCATCACGCTCCAAGAACTACGGGGAAAACCCTTTGAAACGAACGGGAACAGAACATCTCAGCGGATGAGTAGAGCATACAAAAAGGGAGCAAGCTGAAAGTTTAGCAGCGGGAACTACAATAACCAGGCTGAAGAAGTCAGTGTCGGGTCAGTTGTCGTGGCGCAGTGGGTTAAGCTGCCGCCGTTGACGGTGCCTCCCAAGTCAAAGCGCCAGTTCCTCTGCTGCTGACCCAGCTTCCTACTAAGGCTCCTGAGAAAGCAGCAGATGATGGCTCACGTGCTCATGCCCCTGCTCCCTATGGGGGAGACCCAGATGGAGTTCCTTAGAGGCTCCTGGCTTCAGCCAAGCCCAACCCTGGCTGTTGCACACATTTGGAGAGTGAACCAGCCGTGGAAGACCTCTGTGTCTCCCTCTGTCTCTCTGTCTTCCAAACAAACAAACAAATCTTTTTTAAAAATCAGTAATAGACTCATCATATTGATGGCTCAATAAGAGAGTGTAGATGACAGTGGGAAGAGCCATGGAACTTGAAGCCAGATCAATACAAATGGTGCAGTCAGAGCAACAGAAGGAAAACGGATTGGAAAAATAAACAGATCCCCAGGAACCCCTGGGGGATACTAAAATGTCTAACGTCCCTGTCAACAGAGTCTTGGAAGGAATAAAGAATGAGAACAGTTAGAGAAAAACAAGGCATTAACTATGGGGCTAGGAGTTGGCTTTGTGGCCCAGCGGGGTAAGCTGCCACATCCTAGACAGGAGCGCCAGTGCAAGCTCGGGCTCCTCCACTCCCAAGCCAGCTCCCTGCGATGTACCCGGGAGGCAGCAGATGACAGCCCAGATGCGTGGGTCCCTGCCACCCACGTGAGAGATCTGGGTGGAGTTCTGGGCTCCTGGCTTCAGCCTGGCCCGGCTCTGGTTGTTGAAGGCATTTGAGGAATAACCAGCAGATGGAAGATCCCTCTCTCTCTCTCTTGCCTTTCAAATAAATCAATCACATACATATAATCACATATACATATATATATGCCAATAATTTCAGTGACTACAGATTTCTTATTAGAAAACATACAGTAAAACAATGTTTTTAAAATCCCAAAAGAAAAAAAAAATCTGCTGAGTTAGAATTCCATATTCCATAAAACATGCTTTAGAAATGAAGGTGAACTAAAGACAGTCTCAGGCCAGCGCCGTGGCTCACTTGGTTAATCCTCCACCTGTGGCACCAGCATCCCATATGGGCGCCGGGTTCTAGTTCTGGTTGCTCCTCTTCCAGTCCAGCTCTCTGCTGTGGCCTGGGAGGGCAGTGGAGGATGGCCCAGGTGCTTGGGCCCCTGCACCCCATGGGAGACCAGGAAGAAGCACCTGGCTCCTGGCTTCGGATCAGCACAGCGCCGGCTGTGGCGGCCATTTGAGGGGGGTGAACCAACAGAAGGCAGACCTTTCTTTCTGTCTCTCTCCCTCACTGTCTAGAACTCTACCTGCCAAATAAATACATAAATAAATAAAAGACAGTCTCAGATGAAGAAAACCTGAAGGAATTCATTTCCAGAAAACTTAAAGAAATGCAGAAGGAGGGGCCAGCACTGTGGCGAAGCAGGTATTGCCACCGCCTGCAGTGGTATCCTTGGGCCCCTGCATCTGGGTGGGAGACCGGAGGAGGCTCCTGGCTCCTGGCTCCTGGCTTCAGATCGGCACAGCTCCGGCCATTGCGGCCAATTGCAGAGTGAACCAGCAGATGAAAGACCTCTCTCTCTCTCTCTCTCTCTCTCTCTCTGTGTGTGTGTCTCTCCTCTCTCTGTGTAACTCTGACTTTCAAATAAATAAATAAATCTTAAAAAAAAAAAAGAAATGGTACTTGTCTGGGTAAATACAGTAGACTTCTGTAAGGTCATAGCACTGTCTGATGTCCTCCATGTACGGAGATCTAACACACCCTGCAGCTGCACCGAGAGGCAGCAGCTAAGGGGCCTCTACAGGGAAAGGGTTCTACATTCCACTTAAAGTGGGAAAATACTAATTACCAATGTCTCCTGAAAAGCTAATTGTGTACATTGTACCTCGTAGAGCAGTTCCTAAGAAGACAATACGAGTACAAACCATCATCATTAGAAATGCAATAGATGAGGCTGGCGCTGCGGCTCAACAGGCTAATCCTCCGCCTAGTGGCACCGGCATACCGGGTTCTAGTCCCGGTCAGGGCGCCGGATTCTGTCCCAGTTGCCCCTCTTCCAGGCCAGCTCTCTGTTGTGGCCAGGGAGTGCAGTGGAGGATGGCCCAGGTTCTTGGGCCCTGCACCCACATGGGAGACCAGGATAAGTACCTGGCTCCTGCCATCGGATCAGCGCGGTGCACCGGCCGCAGCACGCCAGTCGCAGTGGCCATTGGAGGGTGAACCAACGGCAAAAGGAAGACCTTTCTCTCTGTCTCTCTCACTGTCCACTCTGCCTGTCAAAAAAAAAAAAAAAAGAAAAGAAAAAAAAAGAAAGAAAGAAATGCAATAGATGAATTAAAATGGAAAACTGAAAATATTTCTAAAAACCACTGCAGGAAACAGGGAACAAAGCAATGAAACACAGAGAAAATGAATAAAATCTAAAAGAAAATATAGACCTAAATTTTAAAAGTCAAGAACTACATTAAATGTAAATGATCTAAAGCCACCAATTAAAGGTAGAAAACTTCAGAATGAATTTTAGTTAAAGATGAAAACAGTTAGGGGTGGGTGTTTGGCTCAGCAGTTAGGGTGTTGCTTGGGAGCCTGCTCGCCATATTGGATCCAAGTCCCAGCTCCACTTCCAATGCCAGCTCCCTGCTAACACACACCCTGGGAAGCAGCAATGCCAGCTCCCTGGGAGGCAGCAGGTGATGGCTCAAGTCGCTGGGTCTCTGCCATCTACCTGGGAGGCTCAGATTCAAATCCCAGCTCCCATCTTTTGCCTGGTCCAGCCCTGGTTGATGCAAGAATTTTGGGAATAAACAAGTAGATGGAAGATCCTTCCCCCATGTCTGTCTCTGACTTTCAAATAAAATAAAATAATATAATAATAATATTTAAAACACCCACATTTTATAATAACTATGAAAAACTTTATAAATATAGTGGTACAGATAATTTAAAAATAAAAGGAGGGGAAAACACAAGGGATCTTCCAAAAGTTCAAGGAAATATCCACTATGAAAACTCTGTGCCTAGATTTCAATATTTTTGCACCCAAATAAACATATTTTAATTGCATTTCCACAAAGTTGTAGACAGCACACAGATGCCAAGCAGATTATAATATACACACAAGGGCTGGCACTGTGGTGCAACTGGTTAACGCCCTGGCCTGAAGCACCGGCATCCCATATGGGCACCGGTTCTAGTCCCAGCTGCTCCACTTCCAATCCAGCTCTCTGCTATGGCCTGGGAAAGCAGTAGAAGATGGCCCAAGTCCTTGGGCCCCAGCACCAGCATGGGAGACCTGGAGGAAGCTCCTGACTCCTGACTTCAGATCAATGCACCTCTGGCCATTGCAGCCAATTGGGGAGTGAACCAGTGGATGGAAGACACCTCTCTCTCTCTCTCTCTCTGTCTATAACTCTACCTGTCAAATAAAAAAATCAGAATATAAACAGTAACAGTGGAGGTGCCCGCCTTGCTCAGGAAAGAGAGCCAGAAAAGAAGTGATTTCGGGATTAGAACTAGATAAGCAAGTATGGATGCAGCTTGATTTGATACGCCCATCGTAAACTGGAGATAATGCAGGTGATAAACGCACATAGTGTACCTGACCCACTGAACAAGGCAGGTTAGCCTAGCCTGCCTTGAATGTGCTCGGAACGTTTGCTCTAGCTCCAACCCAGCAAGGTCAGCTAACATGAGGCCTATTTTATCATAAAGCAGCATCTTGTGTAACTCACGGGACGCTGTACCAACAGCGACAAACAGAACGGTTCTAGGGGTGTGCTTCCGCACCACCGCGAAGGCAGGACGTTTTAGGTCAAATCATTGTACCTCGGGACTATCTGTGTTCATTACCAAAACTGCCCTAAATGTTTTCATTTATGTTATCTCATTAGATCCTCCCCCGCTAACCCCCCCCACACACACACAACCAGAGCCAGTGATAACCGCATGAATAGTACCAATTACCGTTTGCAAGGCTTTTGAGATTACTTCGCTTAATCCTTAGTCACAGCCTCACACCAGACTTGGCCTTGTGTCCGAATGCGTTCATGCCCACAGTCCCAGAGATATGTGAGGACTTCAAAAAGTTCATGGAAAATGGAATCAAAAGGTAAGCTTATTTTGTTGCAAAAGCATTTTGAAACCTATGTAGCTTCTCCGTAATACCCATTCTCCATGAACTGTTTGAAGATTGTTTGTGTATTGAATGTAAAGACTTTTTTTAACAATTTATTTATTTATTTAAAGATTTATTTTATTTATTTTAAAGACAGAGTTTCAGAGAGAGGTAGAGACAGAGAGAGAGAGGTCTTCCATCTGTTGGTTCACTCCGCAGCTGTGCTGATCCGGAGCCAGGAGCCAGGAGCTTCTTCCAGGCCTCCCATGCAGGTGCAGGGCCCAAAGACTTGGGCCATCCTCCACTGCCATCCCAGGCCATAGCAGAGCTAGATTGGAAGAGGTGCAGCTGGGACTAGAACTGGTGCCCATATGGGATGGCGGCGCTTCAGGCCAGGGCTTTAACCTGCTGCATCACAGCGCCGGCCCCTAATGATGTATTTATTTGAAAGGTAGAGTTATGGGGGGAGAAGGGAGTGAGACAAAGAGACAGATGGGCCAATCCAAAGCCAGGAACCAGAAGCTTCTCCCAGGTCTCCCACGGGGGTGCAGGGGCCCAAGGCCTTGGGCCATCTTCCTCTGCTTTCCCACGTGCATTAACAGTGAATTGGATCAAAAGTGGAGCAGCCAGGACTGGAACTGGCACTCACATGGGATACCAGCGTCACAGGTGGTGACAACCTGCTATGCCACAACGCCACTGCCCACCCCCACTTCTTACAATCTCTAAACTTCTCAGTGCCTGAGGTACATTATTAACCCTATAGTTTTCTTACAAGGGGCGTGATTAGGGTATGCTGCATACTTATTTGCAGATAAGAATACACCACCTGTTTAAATAGAAGCATGAAATATGCCAAGTTTT